GTGTGTGTGTGTGTGTGTGTGTGTATGGTTTTCATTCATTTGTAGAAATCGATGAACATTTTTCTTTTCTTTTTCACATTTAAAGCTTTTTGTGTTTTTGACGTTAATTAATTCCTTTTTTTTTTTTTCTTTTTTTTAATATTTACGAACAGAATTATGTAATATCTCAATTAACATGGGGTATTTCGAAAAAAAAAAATAAAACGAATGTCCCAAGGTATTATCTTTGAAACTCGATCGTTATTTTATTCTCGCGTTGGAGAATTTGGGTAAAGTTTTGAAAAGAAGAAAAAAAAAAGAAAATTATACTCTTTAGATTTGTAAATTGAAGTTATTAATAGAAAGAATTCATCGAATTGGATCGAATTGAAAATTTATTTTCTTCATAATGTCGTTTATTTCTTTTTCTCTTCGAAATCAATTTATCGATTGATCGTTTTAGAAAGATTTATAGTATCACGTTTTTATAGGTATATATGATTGATGGATAAACAATTTTCGGATGATTGTAAAAATGGAAAGAAGAAAAACGTGTCTTCCTTTTTCTAAATTTTTTTCGATCGAGATTTAATTAAAGAAATTTAGTCTTTTTGTAGATTGCACAATTGTAGGCTTAAAGTGGGGCTTGTTTTTTTCTTTACATGTTGGAATACAAAAATTAGGTAAAAGAGACACGGGGAAAAAGAGTAAATTGATTTTTCAAATGATTCTTAGGAACTTTTTTGGGTCAACCTTTATTGATATATCGAAGGCCATCGCAGATTCTTCCTCTTTCTATTATTTTGTATTATTTTTATTGTTCAAATCAATAAAACGATTCTCTCTTACAGTGTTCCCCTTATTAAAAACTCGTTAACAAAACGACGTTTAACGAAGTAGAAAAGAAACCGCATGGAACCGACAGACGCATTCGATAATAATATCATGGAACAGTTGTGGGTTGACAATAGCAATGGTGGAAGGTCCTTGCTTGCATCATGGCTTTTTTTTTTTTTTTTTTTTCTTTTTTTACTCTCGAAGATTAGAAGATAAAATAAACAAATATATATGATGAATGGAAAATAATAATATGGAAAGATAGATTAATATTCGTCGTCGTCGTTGATTTAAACTTAAGAGATTAGATTTTACTTCTAAATATATAAATATACTTTGAACATAAATATATCGATATAATTTATATGAAGTATTCGATCTGTATAACACAAGTGAAAGTTCTATATTTTAATTATTTAAATTATTTAAAAAGAAGAATCTCGAAAGTCTTTTACAAAAAAAAAAAAGAAAAAAAGAAAAAGACCAATTGCAAAAATCCAATTTATTTATTTCTTCTTACACACTAATCTCATATTATTATTATTATTATTATTATTATTATACAATAATATAAGTGGACGTGTTTTCGATCGAAATCTCTCGAATCTCATTGCGATTCCCATATTATCGTGGTATTCGCGATTA